CTTGCTCTTTTGCTTATCCTTACGAACAACGACGCTCAGAAATATACTCATCCGATGCAGCGTGAAAAACTGCGTATAACGAGTATATTTTGAAGCGTCATTGTTCGTAAAAATAATGAAAAGAGCTAATTTAATTGAGAAAATTGAGAGTTTTTCTTCCATATAAAAAAAGGAGTTTTTAAATATTTTTTAGGATTTTCCAAGTCATTTTTTACCTCAGGAAAATTGCTTAAAACTCTTTCAATATATATAGTTTTGCAGAGCTCGACGAGCTCTATTGAACCATGTAAAAATATAAGAAGAAAATATTTAACTCTATATTTGAACTGCTGGCAACTTAATTTTCTATGCCAAAAGAGCATTAATTTTCTGAAAATTTCATTAATTCGACATTAAAAGAATCCGATCACTCTTACTATTTAGTATTAATAAATCCCGTTTTCGACGCGCTTTAATTTAGTATAAAATTCATAAGGTATTCAACTTGAAATTATAATGCCATCCCTCTAACAAAAGGTTATGCACAACCCTGTACATATCGAAAACTGTCTGATAGAATAAATATGTTTTATTTCATAAAGGACGAAAACGTAACATAATAAAAAATCGTGTCAAACTTTAAAATATATTCTGTGTTTTTTTTTCTGCGAAGTTCTTATTTATTGTATGATAGCTGTTTCTAAATATATGTGATCCATTCTTCTTTCGACAGATGTACTTGTTCAATCTTGAGATCTATCTATTTTCGTTTTCTTTGTATGGTTTAACAGCTGGAAATAATAATACTTCCTAGAAAGAAATATTCAATCGAATTATTTATTAATAAATTATGTTTGATATTTTTTTACCTTCATATTAATACTATCAGTAAGCATCATAGTTAAACGATCAACACCTAAACCCCAACCAGCTGTCGGTGGAAGACCATACTCAAGCGCAGTACAAAAATTTTCATCAATTAATTGAGCTTCATCATCACCGCAATTTCTGTCCTATGAATTTTAATACATAAATAAAACATAAATAAAAAAAGAAAATTTTTACTTTGGCTTGTAATTCGAACATTTCACGTTGTACAATAGGATCATTTAATTCTGTATAAGCATTACATGTTTCTTTATAACAAAAAAATAATTCAAATCGTTCCGTAAGACCTGGCATTGAACGATGACTATAAACAAAAAGAATGAAAATTTTAATTTTAAGAATTTCTTTTGGTTTTTTTACTATTTAGCTAGTGGACTCATTATTTGAGGATGATTACATATAAATGTTGGATTAAGACATTGAGTTTCAAGAAAATGACCAACTAACTATAAAATAAAATTTTCAAACGGTCTTTTTCTTCTTAAACAAAAAAAAACAAAATCTTTTCTTGTTACTTTGTCAATAAGCCGAGCAGTTGTTCTTGGATTTCTACATTCAATATTATATTTTTGACATAAATTATCAAAAAACTTATTCGATTCTATTAGAAAAAAGAAACATTTAATCACGATAAGATTTTTCATTTTGTACTACCTGTTGTCGAAAATTCTGTTGCTGGTGGAAATTTTTCTCCTGTTGCTTTTTCAAGATCTTCAATTAAATTTAAACGTTTAAATGGTGGTGTAAAATCAATTTTAACTGGTTCTTGATCAAGTCCATTTATATGAAACATGATTTTATATGTTCCAAATAAATGTTTAACAAGACCAGAAATTAATTTTTCTGTTATTTCTATTAAATCATTATAATCGGCATATGCCATATAAAATTCACAAATAGTAGATTCAGGATTATGTGTCATATCATTACTTTCATTACGAAAAACACGACCTATTTCAAAAACACGATCAAAGCCACCGACAACTAACATCTAGAAAATTTTCATTAGAAAAAAATTAATATACATGAAAATTTTTTATTCTACTTTAAGAAAAAGCTCAGGTGCAATACGCATAAATAATTTCATATTAAGATCATTATGATAAGTTATAAATGGTTTAGCTATGGCACCACCAGCAATCATATTCATCATTGGTGTTTCAACCTAATAAATAAAAAGAGAAATTTAATGACATACAAAAAAATACAAAGAGATAATTTTACTTCAAGAAAGCCGAGTGCATTCAAAAACTGTCGTATATAATGAATTATTTTTGCTTTAACAATAAATTTTTCTCGAACAGAATCATTTATCATTAAATCGAGATATCTTTGACGAAAACGAATTTCCTTAATATAAAAAACAATGGATTAATAATTTTTTTCGATTCGGAACAAAAACAAATAAATTATACTTTGTCCTTAAGAGAAAAATGTAAACTAGGTAAGTGATGAAGTGTCGGTGTTAGAATGATTAATTCATTTGGTATAAGACTTAATTCACCATTTTTAGTTCGTGCTTAAATAAAACAGGTTATTATATGAAAAAAATGACATGTAAAATTTACTTACTCGGTTTACCCTTAGCCCCAATAATATCGCCACGACTAATACGATCATTTATTGTTGCGAATTCTGCTTGATCAAGGTAAAATCTACAGATGAGATTTAATTTATGTCTCAAAATAAGAAATAAAGTTTACCGTAGATCAGCCATAATTTGAATTTTAACTGAATCACTATGAAGATCATAGAAATAAAGTTTGCGACCATATGAACGCTTTGAATATACACGTCTATTTGGAATAAAAAAAATTTTTATACTTTTATGCTCATATAAATAAAATTAAATTTTACCAGCCACAGAAACAATATCTTCATTATTTTCGTCATTTTTTAAATAAGAATATTTATCAATAAAATCTCGTAATGATATTGAAACATGATACTTATGTGGATAGACTATTTCTCCAGATTGTTTAAGTTGTTGTATATGATGCAATCGCATCTTGTAATATTCCTAATAATATACAAAATAAATACTGAAGTCTATAATATGGCTTATGTGAATTTCAGCCCATGCTGAAAATCATACATGAATTTCTTGCACTAACGTTCCTAAAGATTCGAAGTTCTATAAAAACTTGATATACACCATATTGCTTAGCTAGATGGCGTTGTGCTGATCAGTGTCTGCTTTGATCCTATTAGAAGTGACGTAGTCTTTTGAGATAGTTACTTCTTGTATGAAATAAGTGCCAAGATAAATAGTGGAATGTTCAATAGGACTACCAAGTGATACATCCTCTAATTTATTTCTTTTTACTAACCTTTAAAAATTTTGCCAATTATACGATCTTTTTATTACATGTAAATTCTAACGTAAGTGCTATGTTGTTTTGCTGAACAGTCTATCGTCCTACTAGACACTACGTTTTAATGAAAATACATACCGCTAACCAGGAAACCTTTTGAGTTGCCTCGTTTCGATTTCAATGATTTTTTGCGTATATATACTACATACTGTTCTAATAAAACCTCTAAAACGACTTGAGTTCGACTAATCTATCGAAACTTTTTCCAAAGGTTCCAGATTTTCGAAATTTGATCCGAAACTTAGCGTATATCGAGAACTCAACTGGACTAGCTTGCACAAAAAAAACTTGCAAGCTTTGAACAAAATCTCTTTGAGGTATGAGACTTTCAAGATATAGGACATTGTTCATGGATGGCATATACGTAGGACAGGTATTTTCTTTTTTGAAAGCTTCATATCTCGAAGAGACTTTATTTTTGTCTGTAAATCATAAAAACATGCCCGGATTAAGAATTTGATACAGTTATAATTTGTTTAAATAGTTAAATCTTGCTCCAATTTTGATGCAAGTAACGATAATAAATAATTTTTTTTTCTCTTCAGATAGAAAACTTAAACTTACATTAGCATTAAGTTCTGGATCGTTATTGTCATCACGAAAAGTTACTTCATCATTTGTACTTAATGTTTGTTGTTGTACAGAAATTTGTTTTCGTGTTTGTTCTTCAGCTTTCTTTTGAGCTTTTAGTCGTCGCATTAATTCACTAGAAAAAAAAGAAAGAAGCAATTACAAATGGTCTAATGACTCAATTCAAATATTTATCATTTAAACGGTAAAATGAATACATTCTAAAAAATATGTTGTACTGAATTTATCAAAACTAAATATACAACCAAATCGAATCTGATTCAAAATGTTTTTAACGATATGATATAACATACTTCTTACTAATTTTTTCTTCCATTGGTAATTGCTCTTCTGAATTCTCATCGACAGGGGATGACACTTAAAAACAATTCAATTAAATTTATATAAAAAAACGTTTATTAAAATTATTTATTTACTTGTGAATTTATGATAAAACTAAATAAGATAGATAGGATTTCTATCTGATTATATACTTTTCTATATACTTTTTTTTTTTATTGATGATGCAATGTCAATATCACTGCATCAGCTAGGTTAGACATGACGACATGAAATTCACTTTTCATTTTATTTCATGAGACAGAACAACAAAAGATACAGGAATAACCACCAGTAATTCAAAAAAAAAAGAAATAAATTGTTCGGTATATTAATCAATAATTTTTGATTCATAAAATAAATAATAGTAAAACGCATGGCTACTGCACAGATGTTAAAGATAAGAACGCTTGATTACAAGCAGGAATAAATGTTGCTGTTATTTATTTTGATCAATTTTCTTGCGATGATGATAATGCTGAATTATTTTCTCGTTGATTTTCAACTGATGTAAAACGAGATGAAGATTCATTGGTATCGTCTGAAGTTGGGATAGGAATCGATCGACATGTGATATTCAAGCCTGTGCTATCTACTCAACAAGCAATATCTTGATAATTTACAAAAATGAAACAAAAATAAAATGAATACCTTCATTAGAATTAGATGATTCAAAAGTTGATGATTCTATACGTTCAACATTAGATTCATTTTGTGTTGGACTTGTCGTTGTTGTTTGAGGATCATGTGCAACAACACTACCATGAAAGACTGGTTTTTGTTTACGAGCACTATTGAAATAATTGCAATATGCACAACGAAAAGCTAAACATAGAATGATTAATATTTAATATCAAATTATTATTAATAATATTACATATATATTCAAATTCTTCTTCTAATGCCATGCCTAGGTAAAAACAAAAAAAAAACATACTCATTTCTAATAGTTTATTCTGTCCAAGAGAACAACAAACCATTATGACTATTACAAGATTTACAGATTAATGCATAACTAAATGAAAAATAAGAATGAACTAAATAAATATATTCCAAAAAAATAATAAATTAAGCAAATAATGAACCCTTAAACCTTTGTACGACAAAAAACCCTCGTCCTATATTTAATAACTTTCTACCGAAATCGAAATTTCCATCGTTCATGTAAACGCTCGTCGCAAATTAAACTACAATATGCAAAACTCAAACCGATTTTGCATTCTTGTATAAAAATAAAAATATGATTATCTCACCGTTTCGATGGACCATCACCTACAATAGCATCAAGAATTGCTCCCCAGAATGTTCGTTGTGGTGGCAAAATTGTTCGTGGTAATTTACCAGGTATAGGATTTGCTAAATAATATTTATAAATATAATTTCTATTAATCATATCAACAGAAATACATACCAGTTGAACGATTCGATCCATTAGGTATAGATGACTGTGGATTAAATGTTTCTAATGTACCAATGTTAGGCGGTGGAACTAAAAGAAAACATTCATTAGTTAAGTTTTATTTGAAAAAAATAACATGTTCTACCAGGAACAGAAGCTTTGTCTGAACCGGGTAATGTTGGTTTGGCTGATCCACGTTGACGTAGATCTATAAATCATAATAAAGAAACAGTAATTTAAACATATTTTTTTTACGATTTACTTTAATCATTATCTCTTTCTCTCAAATTTTTTATTTCTTGTCGAATCAATTGAATTTTTATTCTTATATTTCATTCAAATATATCTTTTAAGTTTCTTTTTTTATTGACATACCTCTATTATTATTTTCCGCTAGTGTTGGTCGAACTTCTAGTGTGACTGTTTCACCATATTTTTCTATTAGATTTTTAGCTACTGCATATGTTTCTTTATTTTTTACTTCTTCAATCTAAAAACATTCGAAAATATCTAATAGGAATTATATTTATTATTCCTGAATTCTCTTACCAATTCTTGTTTTCGATCTTTGAACGATGCTAATCGATCTTCTACAAAATAGAAACAAAAAAAAAAAATATTTTTCTTTTAGTTTTTTCTCTATCCTATGTATTTACTGACCTTTCATTTGAATAGCAGTTCGAAAATACCAACAGATAAGCCAATGTATTCCATAGAGTCTTTTTTGTATTTAATATGAATCAATATTACGAGGTTTTTTTTTTAGATAAGAAAGAACAAAGTACTTACAAAGCCCCAAATGCCAAAGAAACTATGACTGCATAAGTGCGAATAAGATAATCATGCGAAAGAAAAATAGTAAAATAAACAATGTTCAAAGTTAAATATGCAATAATAGCATAAATAGCAAATGATTTCGTCCATTTTCGTTGAAGCAGACGTGTTTGTGTTAAACTCTGCTGTACATGGAGTGACTCCTAAAACAAAGCAAAATGAAAGAATATTGTTCAGAAGCAAAACAAAAACTAATCATACTGTATGAAGATCTTCAAGTTCTTCGGAAAGAGTCGTACGAAATTTCTAAAATATTTAATTTATCTATTTTTTTTAAATAAAAATTGAAAAAAGAAATATGACATACGAATATTCGAAATTTAAATAATCGATTGAAGAAAGACATATTGAAAAATTATATTTATTTTGAAAAAGAGGGAGAAGAATAATCTATAAAAATAATGTAATGAATATTTTTGCATAAGAAAAAAAACGAAGAAATTAAATCAGTACCTCTCTTTTTCGTGTGTCTACAGACTAGAATATATATAAAAAAAAGAAAGTCTGTCAACTAGTTGTGGTTTTTCTTCTGTATTTGTCTACGAAGAGCTACAGCTGTCGCTAATTGATTCGCCTTGAAAAAAAATTTGACGCAAATTGTAGTCAGATGTTACATTGAAAAATGAAGAACAGAAAATACACAACTTGTATTTTTCTTATTGAGGCATCTATTTTTCATTTTGACTAAGTTTATTCTGATTCATTTGGTTTGGTAGAACTTAACCAATCCATTTATTGATCGTTCTATAAATATATTCTCTCTCTTGTATTTATGTACCTCTATCGTGGTAAATTTAATATCGATTTTTTCCCCAGTTTTTATATCTTATAGAATCAGAGTTCAATCATGAACGATTACGGAAGGTAGATAGAAAAAACAAATTATTTATTGAAAATTTAATGTTTCTTTTATTAAAATTTTAATTAAAGACGTGTTAACAGTATTATTATTAAAAATTTACCAACAAATTATAATGAAGTAAAGTGTTTCGTTTAAATAAAGATTATTTTAATGTCTCATTGGTTTTTTTTCTAGAGTCAACTTGAAGAACTATTTTCGAAATTTGGTCGTATTGTATCAAGTAAAGTTTTACCAAGTAATCCAAATTTTGATGGTGGTTGTGGGTAAGATTTGTATTTGTATTTAATAAAATTTTTTGTTTTCATTTGATTTAACTCTTTTAGTTTTGTTAATTATGCTGAACCAGATAGTTGTAATAAAGCTGTTGAAACTATGAATAATTTTGTTATTGATCGATTTACTTTACGTGTTAATCATTCATCAGTAAAAATACATTTATTTGTTTTATTATAATAAATAATGTTTTTTTTCTTCTTTAAGACGCGATTGGGTAATAATAATGATCGGCCACAAAATGGATTGTAAGTAATAAGTTTATAGTTGAAAGGCTTTTTTGTTCTTAAAAATTTAATTTAATAGTCGTAGTAATGGTGAATTACATGAAAATAATAATGGTACTTCATCACCTGGTATTCAAAATCGATTTAGTGGTTTTCGACCAGCTAGTGAACGTTCACCAACAAATACAATACGATTAAAAACAAATACTACACCTTTGAATACAAATGAATCCGATGCACCATTAAATAATAATAAACCATTATGGAATAGTACAAATATTGAACAACAAAATGATAAAAATCTATTACGAAATGGTAAAAATACTATTTTTTTTTTGTTATTTTAAAAAGAAATTTTTTTTTTCGTTAGAACCAATAATGAATATTCGTGAACATGATTTATTTATATTAAATAAAAGTTATTGTGTTTATTTATCTAATCTTGAAGTACCTAATATAATATTTGCAGCAACATTAGATGATTATGTTAATGCAACATTACTTATAACACAAATGAATAAACATGAACAACTTACAAAAATTCAAGCTAATTCTTATAAATCAAAGTAAAAAAGAACACAAAAGTTGTTAGCACAATCCTTGCCGAATTAATGTGCGAAACACGATGTAGTTGCTCTTGCGAATGACACGAAGATTGTTTTATTCGATCTATTTTGAGACACATTTGTCCATGTTTTTGAGCAGCCAGACCTGAGAAAAGCTGAACGCCTAGACTCGGACTCGATATGAAATTAAACTTTGGACCCGCAGCTCCCTAAATAAGTTATTGATATATGGTCTGTGGAAGGACAGGTTCAAATTTTTTCCTTGGCATTCCAACATTCTTTTTTAGATCGTATGTCGCAAACGAATCGTAATTTAGAAAACAAGAAAAATAATTTTTTTTGTTGTGCTTTTTTCTTATTAGACTTGTTGTTGGACAATTTTGTGCTGCACTTTTTAATGGCGATTGGTATCGAGCTCGTATATTAGAAGTTGATGAAAATCGTGTTCATGTTCAATACATTGATTGGTAAAATTCGAATACTTCTTCTTTTTTTCTGTTCTTTAATTTTTATATATACTTTTAAATTAGGGGAAATACTGGTTGGTGTGATTCAATTCTTGAAATTCGTCCATTACCAAATGAGTAAGTATTGAAATCCGAATGTTCATTTAGAGTTCGAATAAGTTTCTAGTTTCAGTTCATAGTAGTTCTAAACTGCATTTTCTTTTTACTATCTAGATATTACAAAGATGCTGTTTTATGTGTTAAATGTGTTTTGGATGAAATACCAACTGAGAATAAACCAACCGATGAACAAACGAATGCTATACTTGAAATACTTGGTAAATTAATTTGATAACAAAAATAAAAAATTTCTTGTTAAATTTATTACATATTTTAGTTCTTGATGTTAAACTTGAAATGACTGTATTACGTATTGAAAATGGTATTCCATATGTACAACTCAATTTAGGTAAACGAGATTTAAATGCTGAAATACGTGCAATATTACCACAATCACTATCATCATCATCATCAACAACAACAATAGTAATAAAAAAAAAAAATATTAATGCAATATATAATTTCTCTGTTTGAATAGGTTTCAGAAAATGTAGATAATGAAATAATTAATTTTGATTTAAATAAACCTGAAATGAACATATCTGAAGTTCATTCTGTACAATTAACAACAGTTGATGCAGAATCTGAATGTTTTCATGTATTATTAATGCGTGATTGTCTTCCAACAATTATGAATATACTTAGAGATTGGAATGCTAATAAACAACCATTAACTAAACAGCCAAAACCAAATATGCTTGTTTGTGCACAATATGAAGGTGATGATCTTTGGTATCGAGCGTGGATTGAAAATGTTTCGGGTATAAAATTTTTAGTTGTTTTATATAAGTTGATTTTTTGAAAGAAAATCTTTGTTTTTTTTCTTGTTTTTTAGAAATTGGTTTTCGTGTATATTTTGTTGATTTTGGTAATGAAGAAATTGTTTCAATGGATCGTCTTAGTGAATGTCCAGATATTTTACGAAATATGCCATGGCAAAGTGTACAAATTAAATTAGCTAATATTAAATTAACTGACGAAGAACGTTATATACTTTTAAGAGATTTTGAAACTGCTCGACTTGATATGAAAATTCTTTCAAAAAATCAAGATATTTATTCTGTTGAATTAATTAGTAATGAAAAATCTCTTAGTGAATATATATTCGAATTACGTCAAAACAAAGAACAACAAACACAAATTACACCAATAACTAACGAAGTTTGTTATTGTTTATAATTGTAAATATGTTCATTAATAGTCTGATTTTATTTTTTTTATTAAAGGTACTAAAAGAACCAGTTGAATCAATTCAAGAATCTGTCTCTAAAATGGTAACACCACCACCACCAATGACTGATGAAAATATCTCACAAACATTTAACGAAAGTAAGTTTTGAAATTTTTAATAAATAAAGGCTTCTTAATAAAACTTTTTCAAGACATCAAAATCGATTATTTGTAAATTGTGAGCTGCGAAAATGATTCTAAACAAATCGTAATTGAAAAAGTAATTGTATAATTCAGAAGAAATAGCAAATTTTTGAGAATCATGGAGTCCCAAAAATATCACTTGATTATACATCTTTATCTGAAGAAGCTATTAGCACTATGTCGGCGGAATTCAAATGTGAAAGACGATATAGGTGCTTTTGCTAATTACAAAGAGAGTTTTATTCTATCTATTTTGGACTACATTTCTTCATAACCGGTGATGCAGAGCGAAAGTTATTGCTAAGATCCTTGCTACAGTGTGTGATGCTCTCTAACCGGCATCTGTCATAGTCTGTAAGCGAGACGATTCAAATTTTTACCCCTTCTTTTCATTAATGTTTGAAAACATGATATTATTTTCGAAAAACTGTCTATCTTTAGATGTTCGTTCAATATCATTACCAGTTCAACCAATAGTTAATGAACCTCAAAGATTTGCTGAAACAAATCAGAGTGATATTTTACCATCACCACCACTACCATCAGCAGCGACTGTTACTACTAGTACAAATTCGCCTAGTACATTGAATATAGAGACTAAAACATTATCTACGAATGAACTAAATAGTGATAGTAATTTTAATGATAATTTAACAACTATGCTCATTGAACAACGTCGACAGAATCGTTTACTTGAACAAGTTATTGCAGCAATTAATACAACGAATGCTCTTCTTACACAACTTGTTCAACGTTAAAAATAAAGAAATAGTATTTATTTACTTGTTTATATAAATGTGCACGTTCAGATATATATTCTATTTGTTCTAGAATATATAGTGTGATATCTCCATTTCATATTTAGACAGTGTACATTTTTCATACTGATTTTCTTTTTCATTCCTTGTTCGTCAGTTTTTTTTTTTTTTTGTAGTCAAATTTTGACACAAATTCATCATAGTAACTCATATAGGATATGTTTATATATAGATACAGTTTGTTTTTTGTTGGTTTTTTTTATTTCTCTCATTTTGTTATTGTACTTTGTTTTTTTTTTTCTTTTTGTTAACACTATCATATAAAGTTTAAGAATGATGAACGAATGTTTTTGTTTGGTTTCGAATACGAAAAAAAGCTGCCATTTGTTAGAATACAAAAAAAAATTCATGAAATATATCTAAATATGTATTATAGATAAAATAATTGAGATTATCGCTAAAATGAATACAATAACGAATAGATTTTTTCCATCAATCTCAAAATTTTTGTTAAAACGTAGGTATTTTTAATATGATATCTTTTCTTTTGCTTGACTAAAAACTATTATGAAAGCATAAGGTCGGTACTTATTTTCTATTTCGCACTAACAAAATTCAAATAAAATAGAAAAGCTTTTCAGAAACTAACCATATCATCATCAAGAAAGAAAAATGCATTCAATTTTAAATTGATACTATTTTTGCATTCAACCATTGAATTAATTCAATAGAAACTTTGTCAATAAATAGTCTATAGCGATGGAAATTTAAATTTGAGAAAAATCCATTCAACCTTTTTAAAGATAAACAGGAAGAAATGAAATAAGTCTGATTTACTTTTAGATCAAGTAGCTAATCGAGCCTTTTCATCAGTCAAAAATGTAATTAGTAACAATAAAGAAGTTATTGTTTTGGGTCATCGTAATCCAGATACAGATGCTATAACAGCAGCAATAGTTTACAGTGATTTTCTTCGTCGAATGAATATTAATGCTAAAGCTTATCGTCTCGGTGATCTCAATAATGAAACAAAATTTATACTTAAAACAGTTGATATTAAAGAACCAGAAATGTTACCGGATGATATATCGAATGGAACAGAAGTTGCTTTAGTTGATCATAATGAAAGTCATTATTGATTTGATTTGTTTATTGGTAATCATTTTCTTTTCTTTTTTGTTGTTTTCAACTTTAGGTCAACAATCAATGAAAAATTTGAAAAAAATGCGTGTTACTCATGTTATTGATCATCATAAATTAGGTGATTTAACAAGTTCGGAACCAATTTACTTACGTATTGAACCTGTTGGATGTACTGCAACAATTTTAACAAAATTATATCGTGAAAATAATTTGAATATTGATCAAAAGATGGCTTTTCTATTAATTAGTGCTATTCTTAGTGATACACTTCATTTTCGGTAATTTACGAAAGAAAAAACTAAACTTTAAGAACACGTAGACCTTGATGAGTAGAGCAACAGCCGTCATAGACTCCAATCTCCCGAATGCTGTTTTTTATTAGATATTGGGACTAGAAGAGCTCTAATTTTCGTTCACGTATGTTCGAGATGCTATATTCGATCGAACTGAAAATTACTGTTTGAAATGGGTATCTTTTTTGTCCTTCGAATAAAAAAAGATATTCATCTCAAACAGTGTACGATATACATGAAAAAGAGTTCTAACTTGATCGGACATACTAGGCCGGAGAAACGAGAGCGTTTCTGCACTATTTTTGATGGAAAGTTAGTTTGAAATTCTTGAAATAAGAGGGTTTGAGTTGATGCAGCTTCCTTCAAAGGCTATGACAGTTTTACTGATTTTTTCACTTAGCACAAGGTATATACAGAAAAATCGAACAAAGAAACAAATTTCAATTCGATATTTTGCTCATATGTGGTTCTGATGGTCATTGGGACACTCTAAATGTTCCAATAGAAAAAGAAATGTTTTCCTGTCGTGATATTGAGTTTTTGAAAGAAAATTCAATCTCTCTATACTTTACAGATTATGAGACAAATTTTTAACAAACTGGTATCTCCAAAATAAAACATTTTTTCCCTCTGAAATATTGAGGGTGCTTCAATGATCAGGAGAACTACATATGAGCAAAATTTTAGATTGAAATTCTGTTGTGTGATTTTTCTGTATTTACCTTTACTAACTGAAAAAAAGTAAAAAAAAAGGGTTATCACGTTTGAACGAAGCTCCATCAGCTAGAACCTCCTTAGAATGATGTCTCCAACATATGGGCAACAAACTATTGAAAACAGCATGGATCAGTTGGTGATCTTTCCTCGTTAGTAGATAGATAGTACTTCAGAGTGTCTAATGGTCTAAAGAAGATAAACACTTTGGCTCACGAAAAGGAAAGGGATATCCTTAATGAAGATCAATAAAATACATTTTAAATTTCTTCATAGATCACCAACAACGACCAATGATGATCGAAAAATGTTAGAATATCTTATTCCACTTGCCAAAATAAATGATATTAAATCATATGCTAATCAAATGTTCGAAGCTAAGAGTGATTTAAATGGATTTTCATCAAAACAAATACTTCTTCTTGATTATAAAACATATTCTTTCAATAATGAAACATGGGGAATAGGTACAGGTGAAACATGCAGTATGAATAAAATGCTTGAACGAAAAGATGATTTACTTAAAGAAATGCGTGAAGAAAAGAAAAGAAATAATTTAAAAGGTATTTTATATTCAATTATTGATATAGTTAAAGAAAAAAATTTAACATTAATTCCTGATGATATTGAAGAAAAAGTTGTACGACAAGCATTTAAAGTTGATGCTAAACATCATATAGCTGATCTTGGATCAAGAGTTAGTCGTAAAAAACAAATTGTTCCAGTACTTGAAGAATATTTTCATCAACAATCTTAATTATTAATAATGTGCTTTTTCTTTGACCTAATTCCAGCAATATTTTTCTATTTTTATTTGATAAATAAATAGATTTTTGTTTCAATATATTTTTTGCTATTGTAGAATATTTAAAAAAAAATATATTCTTTATTATATTTCAGATGATTTCACGACAAATTATTTTCATTCGACCTTACGTATCAAATCAATTGTCAATATTTCGAAATGTTCATATCAGTAAACCAATGTATCAATCAAGTAATCGACCATTTACATTAACAAAACGAAATAGAAAAGACAAATTTGATGGTGGTGCTCTGTTTTTACTCGTATGTTATTGAAAGTATTCGAATGTTAAAATAATTCTAACTGTTGACATATTTACAATTTGATTCATTTAGATGATTCCAGTGAGTGCATTTGCATTAGGTTGTTGGCAAGTTAGTCGTCGAAAATGGAAAATTAATTTAATTGAAAAATTAAAATCACATACACAAGCTGAACCAATTTCATTACTTGAAAAGTTAGTATTTATTATTGGAGAAATACTATGAATTATTTGTCATGTCATTTGAATTTCTTATTCATATTTACAATTAAGAACTGAAAACCTTAATATAATTTGTTATGTTATAGTTTAGATATTTTGCCCGACTTAGAATACTATCCAGTTCGCGTTCGAGGTAAATTCGATCATTCACGAGAATTTCTTATTGAACCTCGTTCACGTCTTGATATTGTTGATCATGAAAATCAAGTTGGTTCACGACAATCGCGTGCTTCAGTAGTACCTGGTGCACATGTGATCACACCATTTAGAGTTGCAAATCGAAAGTAAATAATTATTTTTGTGTTCATTTTTCAACACATAAACTTTTGTAGTTTTGATATTCTTGTCAATCGTGGTTATGTTCCATTCGATTTACGAGATCCGTCTACTAGACTTGCTGGACAGGTAGAAAAGTGCTGAAAACTACTGATGAGTATATATATATGTTTATATCTGATATTTTTTAGATTGAAAATGAACATGAGATTATTGGGTTACTTCGATCAACAGATTATGTCAGTTGTTTCACATAATGAAAAAGAAGAAATATTCAGATATTCTTTATATGTATATTTCTAGTTAAATGCAATGTGGAATAAAAATGAACCCTCGAGAAATATTTGGCGTGTACGTGATGTCGCCGAAATGGCAGCTACTGTTCAAACGGCACCCATTTTTATTGACGAAATCAAAAGTAATTTACATAGTTTTGTGAAAATGTTCATTTGCTCTAATTTTATTGAGTTTATTCTAATAGTAGAAGTGTACATTTATCATTTTTACTATAAACAAATGAAAACGAAAAGCAAAGTAATACTAACTGTATTTTATCAATGAAAAGTAATGAATCATTTACTTTTAAAGCACACGTTTATGTTTCTCTAGTGGTATAGATAGTTCCTGAGAACGAGTATTAACATTACGGATGTGCGTTTTTATTATGATTGATTGCTTCGCTGTATGAAAGAGGTTGTATTTTGTGAATTGAGCCCCTTTTTCGTTAATATAAAAATTCATTGAAAGAAGAAGGTCTGCGCACACTTAATCATGCAATTTTAAGAAATGAGAAAGGAATTTTTGTTTTAAAAAACTTACTCATAAAAGATAATCATTCATCAACGTGATAGACTAATGTTATAAATCTCAAAATATTATCTTGTTTTAGGCACGTCTGTTCCTGGTGGTCCAATTGGTGGTCAAACAAATATTCAACTGCGCAATGAACATCTTTCCTACATCGTTACATGGTAAATATGATTCGCGTTTCATGAACACTTGCATTCTATATTTATCCTTTCAGGTTTTCTCTTTCGGCCTTGACTACTTTTATGTGGCTTCGTAAATATGTCTTATGAACAACTAACATTCTTAAATTAGTCACATTATGAAATTTTATGAAAAATTTCATTTCACGTCATAGATAAAACTGTAATGAGCCTATACAACATGTTCATCGGGAGATTATTCAAAAGAGCTGTTTTGCTGGATTTATTGAATACTGCTGAGCCTAACGTATTTTCAATAGAATTGGTACATAGAAGATCTCTACAATTTCAAAAAATTTAGTTCAATAAACATTTTAACAGAAAGAACGGATTGACGACACAACAGAAGAGAAAAAGAAAGAATTAATGAAAGCGATTGATTAGCGTTCACTGAATAATGAACAATATTCGAACATAGTAATATATACACAACCCATGCTAGAAAAAGAAGAAGAAAAATAATATAGAAAATGACTGCTCTCAGAAGTGAATGCATGCATCAAAAATATCTGTCACAAACGTGTGATTAAAATTGTATAATTCTTCATATTATTCCTTGTTTACTAGTGAAACACAATATTGTTTGATAGGAATATTGAAAATATATTAAAGTCTCACTTTAATGGAATTCGTTTACTGTGATTGCCAAGCCTAACAAAATATGTGTAACATCATTTGATATTTCAGGTAATTTGTTCATTAAGAATAAAAAGGCAAATACTATTTTGAATATGAATTGCAACATTACACTGAAGCAGAGGTACGAGAAATATCTAGTCGAATATCATGTTTGAGTTTGAACGTTGATGCTAACAACAGTATGAAAAAGTCAAAGTTTTTCTTTTTTGCTATTTGGATGCGTTTCATTTTTTCATCACACTTTGTATATCTAGAGGTACACTACTGAATAGAAATTAATGCAGTACATAATGATTTTGATGCACTATATTGGCCATAAAAACCTAGAATATCTCCGTTATTGTTCAGTCTAACTTCAATATTGGATTCGATTGAGATTGCTTTATTTAAGACTGTTGCCTTGTTTAATAGAACTTTTGAAACTTCGATAAGCTGTTTTTAGAAAAATAAAATTAAAAAAAACCATCAGTCTGAGATATAATTTGCAACATTACAAATCTATCTGCCACCGTTTTCAGTGTCATCATCATCTTGGTATTCTGGTTCCAGTTCTTGACCAAATATATAGTTATCGGCACGTTTCAAAGCTTCTGATCGCATCATGGGGCCAAACATCATAAAAATAACACCCAAAAGGCACAAAACAGAAAGAATCAAAATTAATAAAATACTTGATAAAATATCAAACGATGACGATGATGATGAATGAGTGAAGACGATATGTTCACTGTCATTCTTCGTACGATTTACAGTGGAATTAATATAATTCAATGAGGTGTACATGTAAAATCATATCGATAATCGTTTCGTTTAATAATTAATACAGCAATACAAAACAGTTAATAACAATAATGATTATAATTGACATCATTTTAATAACTTAGAAATAATAACATTGATCTAGAACAAAAAACAACACTAACTAATATAAGGTTTTATTTGATGATCAAAGTTGTAATGTTCTTCTGCATCTTCACAACTTTGAAATATTGCTCTTTTGAGAGTAACCTAGAGACCTGCGGAGTCAACTTTTTTCATTCCGAAATCCGACTCCGACTCCGAAAAATTTCTTTCTTCCGACTCCGACTCCGAAAAACTCCGAAATTTTTTAACAATGTCATTTAAAAATAAAACGTTCTCAGCAGCCAAAGAACTCTTTAATGACTTAACACGCGCACGTTTTACACTAAAAATCTCAAGTTTCTCTTTAAAAAAAAACAGTTTATGGATGTTATCATCTTCAAAGTCACTTTTTCCCCTCAAAAAAATCCTTTTTGCATGTGTAAAAAATCCACAGTTTTGCTCCTAAAAACGCGTTTCTGTTACTGATTTTACCGGCCTTGGATGTTCTTCGTCTAAACAAGGAAGAACTAATGATGAAGATAGTCGTAGTACTTTGAATGACATTAATATATCTTTTTTGACTAATGTTGTTATGTTTTCAACTCACTTGATCATTCGAGTGTTATAACTGGAAAGTGATTCGCTCATCTTTCTGTCCTACAAGTGATATAAATCTATGTGGCAGATATTACGCTTTATTTTTCTATCTACTAATGTTAAAAATTAAGTTTTGGTAAATCGAAAAAAAAATATCGGAGTCGAACTTGTAACTGACTTCGACTCCAACTCTGATTCCGAACCCGAAAATTTTTTTCAGCAAACCCGACTCCGACGGAGTCGGAACCGGAATCGGAATCGGGTTTCGGAGTCCTCCGCAGGTCTCTAGAGTAATCAATTCTTGTTTTTTTTTTCTTGCTTACACTAATCAATTAATATTCTTTTTCTTAATAGACACCACTAAAATAATATCTTGATTCGGCCTAGATTATTCTATTTCGTTTCTTTTCACACGTGTCCAAGCAATAAAAATAGACATTAACATAAAAATCTATCTTATAAAGCAGTGATCTCACTGTCTTGGTAATCCACCAGCATTCATTTAGTTATTTTGTTGAATGATGGTTTCGATAATCTGTGAAAATGCTTTTCTCGATGAGATCGATTAAACTGAAAGACTAATGATAGTGATTTGATGCAATCAGAAATGTGGCAATGTGAAATGCGCATCTGTCGCTTTAAGAAAATCTTATATACATGTTTCTCAGCTCTCAGAAATGTTTTCTTGCACTCTTTCCCCTGCACTTTGTTCTTCTTTATCGTCAAGACACTTCATCTGGCCAGTCGAGTGGTGTTCTCAATTCAATCGTATAAAATTTATTTTTAATATAAATTAGTCTTGTAACTACGATACTAATCATTGGTATATTTTTTATAAATTTCTGAACGCGCTGATTATTCATTAATTTTTTTGTGTGTTGTTTTTGTTTTTTTTTCTAATAACAAAATATTAGTTTAATAATAGATGTATGACAGCAGTTGCCGGCTCATTGTGGCCCGCACTGCTTTCAATTCCAATATTATTCATAAGTAAACATCGACAATGACTAGTTTAAGTTCTTCGCATGATGATTTTCAATCAATAACTATTTCAGAAGAGTCCACTGTAAGTGAAGGTACACGTCGTTTACTTTCACCATATAATCGTAATCGATTCGATGCTCTCAATCGTGATATACAAAATGAATTAATTAAAGTTAAAGATACATTTCGTACGATAACAATTGATCTTAATGCATTTCAAGGTGGACCAGAACAATTAAAAGAATTTAAAGATAAAATACGTCATATGAATCGTATATTATTAACTGTTAAACAACGTCAAGACATATTAGATGATCGAAATGAACAAATGCTACTCGATTTACAAAATCATATATGGGAAATAGCAAAATATTCTGTACGTATTGAAATATATTTATGTGCTATCGAACGAATGAAAAATACAGCTAATGAATTATTACAAATGGCTAAAAAAATGTCACATAATTCGTCAAATGAATACAATGAATTAATTGAAATCGGTACTAAACTTAAACATGAAATAAATCTATTAGAAACACGTGCAAAAATAGATTGTCATAATATTAATATACGTGAAAATCTCGATAAGTTACAACAACGTTGTCAAACTATTTTAAATACAAATGAACGAACACAATTAAAAACTTTGCGTAATTTTCAAGTAAAAAAATCTGTACTTAACCATTGTCGAAATCGACTCTTCGATTAAATATTGTTGTGTATCACATATTTACCGATTCTGTAAAAAAGATCGATATATATCTATGTCTATATATATATGTGTGTATCTTTGCATAGAATAACTACGTATTGCTTCATTGAGACAATATTGTGACATTTTGTAAATTAAGATAATTGATAAGATGGAGGAGTAACAGGGACAACAACAGCAGTTGCCTGGTTTTTTACACTCTGTTTTTGCAATCAAAAAGTTACACATCAGCCAACATTATTGACGTCATTAAGAGACAAAAAAAAATAGAGAAGAGAGAGAGAGACCATAATCACTGACATAACATCTATTTTTCCCATACTTGTTTATTCCCTTGATATGTCTTCTTTTTTTTTCACCAAGAGCAAACAAGTCGTCTTTCATATGTGTTCGTCTGTATTATCGATCGAATGCATGGCAATAGGCATTGAGTAAATGTGACGATTTGCGATAAACAAGCGAACGATATTAATACTGACAACAATCAACTTGCCATCGAATAACGTAGCTAATGTTGAAGAAAAAAAATCAGAAGTTTATTCAGAGACTGCATTCTTGTAGAATAATAAACAGATATTGATCAAACATACATTCATATTCAAAGCCGATAATATAATGATACAAATTTAACATAATATAATTGACAATTTCTTAGACATGACTTTGCATTCTGAATGTCTGTATAAAATTTTTACATAAATGATGTTTATCAAAAATTTCTTGTCTATTTCAAGGTATGCCCAGGAAATATTTTATTTGTATATTATATAGCGAGAACTGCATCAAACAAGAATATATAAATATCAATGATTTCTTTCGTAGTATGATGTGCAACTATATAGGGGTAATATTCTTAGATTCATTAGTTGAATATGTCTAATTAAATCAAATGGAATGAAATGCTGTCTTTTCAAATGACTTCTCTTCATCAAAACACTCATTTCTTACTGATTCCAATTTAAAACATCATTGACATAATAATACGACAAAAAAAAGATGTCAAGATCGAAATAATTCTCACTCGCATAGAAAAAAAGATTGTTAACATTGCTACAATAAATACGAGATATGTATATAGATATGTACTGAGATTCTATCTCATATATATCATTTCTTATATATTTTGCACGTCTACAATTAACAACAACTAAACAGAAATCTTATGTTGATGTTATGTCTTTCATAATATTATTAATGAAGACAAGAACAAAGCTGTGTCATATTCAATGTATACAAAATGTGACAGTTTTTCAATTTTACATGAAGAAAATTATCTCTAATAGAAGGACATTGCAATTAAAAAGAAAATCATCTTATTTTCATTTTATTTCAACAACCCTTTTTTAAACCTTGACTGCTTCCATTTGTAGCATAGGAATGGTTTCCTTAGTTTTTATATTACATTAAGTCCATCCAACGAAACCTTATACTTGATAAATCTAGTTTTTTGTTGAAAGAAACTTTAGACTTTCGTCCTACTAACTGCGTAAAAAGATAACTGTTATCTGTTCAAGTTTACTTTCATTTTTTTTTCTTCTAGTTATGATTCATTACTTCGAATATTTTTATTAGTGTTAAAAATAATTCATATTGAGGAATTTGTACATAATCATAGAATATATAAAGAAAATTTAAGTGGAAAATCACCTTGATGTGAATAGGTGTGTAACAATGAATTGTGCATAAAACAAAAAACCAATCAACTATAAAAAATAACATAGATGAAAAATTGAATTTATTTTTGTTGATTTTCATTTCCTAACATTTTTGCCATTCTCAAGTATTACCAATAAAGAAAAATGAAAGAAACATATAAAAATGTGTAAATAGAAAAAAATTTTTCATTCATTTTATCCATTGCGTACTTTGCCTGGCAAATATGTTTCATGATCAATTTTTTCTTCTTGAAGAAAAACATGAAGTGAACGTTCATTTTGTGCTAATGGATGACCAGCAACTCTATACAATAAAAAAAATATTTTGTAAAAAAACAAATAGAAAATGTTTTTTTTCTACCTACTTATTAATAAATTCTTCAAGTCCTTTACGTCTTTCTTCAATAAAATCATCATCAAATATACCATCATTACTACGAAGAAATGCAGGTATCTGTCGGTCCCATGCTTTGCCAGGTAATGGTGGCACGAGAATCTACTTATGAAAAATTGTTATTTATCTTGTTTAATGAAATGTTGTTTATTACTTTGCTATCTCGTTCGAGTTCTTTACGTAACCAGTCAAAATCTGAATACCGACGACGTACAGAACACTCTTTTAATCGAAATACAGGTAAATTAGTCTAAGATAAATCATAAAATTATTTAAAAACTATAGACAGAAAATAAAAAAATCATGTTTACTTTCATTCGAATTTCATAATCAGTATATCGTTTACCGGCTAGTCCATGAGTTATGGGATTTACAACGTCAATTTCTAAAAAATTATCTGGTGGTTCATAACGATCTTGAGAGGAAATCTAAACCACAAAAAAAAGAATGTTTTTGTCGATTTTTTCATTTCAATTTTCATTACTGGTGAAGATGGTAATCGAGCAATTTCCGGTCGACTTTCTTTATCCTGTACAGGCATTGATAAAGTCTATCTAAAAATAAGAAGAACATAAAAATTAGAAAAAAAAAAAATTGAAATCACCCGGGTAAAACATTCTCAAATTACGAATAAGAACGCATTTCATCCAGCTGTTCGCACAAAAAGAAAACGAAAGAAATGATAAGAAGAAGACATGGCAAAGGTTATTACTATGAATCCTCTGCCGATGCTTATCAACTATCTTCATACAAGCAAAATATAGTGCATTGATCATTTAATTGAAAAATGTACAATACGAGTTAATATTTAGTAATTAGTCTAGAATGACAGTGACACATCATTTTTTTGTTTCGGTGTCATTATTGAAAGAATTGATAATTGATGAACTAATTATAAATGTCTTAGATTTCTATAAAATCAATTCAGATTTCTTTTATGTTAGAATATTTTTTCCACCGCTCAAGTACATCAAAAAACATTTTTTACATTTTGTACAGGTCAGACAAACAAAAAACGATATGTTTCTATAATCTTTAATATCTAATGACGGTCTCAGTATCATTATATCTCGTTGACTTATTTATTATTATCACAGCAGTTCTATGATGATATATATTTATTGAAACTGCTGATTAGTATGCATCGTTTCGATGACAAGACTAATGCTTTGTTTTTATAATGTTAATGAAATCATATATTTACTTGCTTCAGACAACAAGAAGAACGCACATCTAAAACATTCCCTATATCAAAGACATTAATATGTAATACAATTGAGTATATTTCAACACCAGTATATCAAAATATTGTCATATGTTTACAAAGTTTGAGATATTACGTTCTAATAATCAACCAATTAATGTGATCACTGATGTGAAACTACACTTACTAACTATTAAATTGTATACGAAGTGCACTACTAATTTTAGATAAATTACGTTAAAACAAAAAAATTTTGAAATATCTGTGCGTGGTTGAGAAAAATGATTCTATTATAAAGAACGAAAAGCAAATTTTTTCTTTTTAAAAAGCCATACTTCTATATCCGTCAGAAAAAAAAACCTAATAGATTTTCAAGTATTTTACGAAATGTAAAAGTTCAAAGTCAATTTTCTTAATAGTACAATGCATATGTTTTTGAGCGAAAAGGAAACAACAAAAAGTTATTTCGTGCATAAGAAAATATTCATTGCAGCATCAGTATGATTATCTCACATAATAAATTCAATTCATGATCATGCATATGGTGAGTAATTATTACTAATCAATAGAATAGTGTTTGCAATAGTAGTCTATCATTAATATTGACGAGAATGAATATCATTAAAATTTCCTGATAAGTTACCAGATTACATAACTTTGAAAATATTCAAGTAAAAAGTGAAAATACGAAAGAGAAAAAGGAACAATATTCTTTCAAATATCGATGTGTGTTTGACTACATTATGTAAATCAATTGTTGTTTTCTGAAATATATGAATCGAACGATACCGTTACTTGACAATAAAAAATTTATTTCGTATAGATTGTTTTGTTTTTCAGTACGAAAAAAAGAATTAATTTTTTCGATTAGTCGTAGGTAATAAAGTAGAAAGGTGAGTACGATTTATTTTTATTACAGCGAAGATAGGATTCACTTGTTTTATTTTGTTTTTTTTTAATGACGAAGATATTTGTAGCTAATAAAGCAGATTTAACGGTGAAGGTACGAAGCAATAAGTAAAGATCCTTTAAATATTATTGTCCAACAACATGAGAAAAATATTTATATGTGCATTTGTTTTACTTTATTGTCTTCAGTAAATAACTGAAGATATAATATCAAATCTATCTCATTGAATAGAGAACATCAAAGAAAACAATGAACTATTGTGTTTGTCACTGCAACAAAATGAACTTGTTTAAACTCGTATTAATAAAAGAAATTTGCTGTTTTTATTTACACAAGCGATAGTATGACCTATGATTACTTTAACAACGACATTAGATTATATTACAATCTGTATGTGTGTGATATTTATCTCAAAGGCTATAAGAATACACCGTAGGAAATATCTTTGATTAGTTACTAAATATAAAAATATCTATCTATCTATGTTGCGGACAATGTCAGAATTCTAGTTTCATCCAAGGTGATTTTAGACGAAGTTAAAATTCTAGTTTTGACCAGATGAAATTGAGATTGTTTTTTTGATGAACCGAAGAAGTGAAAGAAAGAAAAACTATTAAAGTATCAATAGTTCTTTTTTTTCAAAATGATATTTTAACTATCTGATGGATGAGTTTTCGCCGCCGTAAATCCATCATCTGACTGTAAGCCATTCTATCGCTCATAGCTACACTCACTCCTTGATACTTCAATTAACTTTAGTGTCATGAAAGGAAAAAAATCTCAATTTCGTCTGGTCAAAAGTAGAATTATAAGTTTGTCTTGGATCACTATGAA